CCGATTGCACGACCGAGCGTTCCCGTTGCGTGCACTCGTTCCCCGTCGACGCTCCCCCACTTCTCGCGCGGCCACTGATCCCGCGTCAAACGGCGTGCCTCACGAAAGTCGCCACTGCGCACGATTGTAAACAAGTGTAAATAGATATATAGGATTAAGGAGTGTTAACCGTAGAGAATAAGTCACAAGACGACCCGTGCAAACGGGGACGAATAAATCTCATTTAAGAGTATATCGACGTGTTCATTTTCCATTACCCACTACCAAAGCGATCCCAGAGCCGGCACTCCTGGACACCACCGACTGGGCCGGCACGTCCACCGCTCCGCGGTGACGACGATCATCACATTCTTATTTTGATATCGTTGTTTCCCAGGGTTATTGATTTGTCGATTAATTCATTAGCTATTTCTTTGGTGGAGAGAAATAAACAGATTCTATTGTTAGAAATCCTTGAGACGAAGCGAATGTTAGTTGGATTTGTCAATTTACATATTTTTTTGACATAGTCTTTAACTGTGAATCCTTCTATGGAGTCCATAATTATAGCTTGATCTTTCTTAGGGTACTGAACATGTTTTCCCTGCTGTAGTCAGCAGGGAAATTTGCTAATGACACCACTTTGTTCAAGTCACTTAAACCAGTAAATGAATTGCAGAACTTTGTACTTTCTCAATAGAATAAATTCGGAAACCCGAATTATATGAAATCGTTAGTTACTCGAGGAACTGATCCGCGCTATTTGTATACGCAACTGTACCGGACGACGTTCCGAAGCGAACCCTAGAAGTTTATTTATTTAAGAAAATGAAATACCTAAATGGTTAATTTAGTACTATTACAATACATTGCATACAAATTCGTAATAGAATTTAGCAACAAATATTGTTAAATAATAATAAATTAATTTTTGGAAAGAAAAATATAACCGATTTCGAAAAACATTAAAACTGCACTAAAAAGTATGAAATAATTTCTAATTACTTTATATGAATACTCACCAGCTTTAGATATAATTGCTTAGAAGTATGACAAAATGCAGTAAAATGTATAAAATAATTTCTATTTAAACTGCATTATTACTCACCAGCTCTTGATGAATTTGGTTAAATTATTAAGTACAGCCTATTAAATACAATGCAACTTTTTCGAAGGCGACGAAAAATTAAAATTACCTACATTCAAAATGATCAAACTTGATTTAACTTTCTGTCGAAGGAACCAAAATTGAGCCTTTAATTATTGCATTGAGTAACCTCCTCCTTTTCGAAGTTGGTTAAAAATCACTGTTATCAAAATCATGGAGAGCTAACATTAAAATAATAACATATACATACAGAGCACTCATAAGAACAGTACTTGACTAGAGGGCACCAGTATGTCAGCAAGCAAAGAATTACTGAAAATCTTAGACCTTATCCAAATGACTCCACTTAGACTATCTCCAAATTCCAGTATTATTGCAGAAACAGGGGAAATACCATTGCAATATAGAAGGAAATAATTATCACTAGTGTTCGCAACAACAATATTCTTGAATCAGAATCTTTCTACAAGCCTTTCTCGAATTTTATGCAACCCTAATGATCCACAGTGTTAAACAAATATGTGTATTCAGACATTTACTAAAACCTTTTTTAATTTGACAGTCTACATACATAGAAAACTGGCAAATACAAATATCATAGATAACACAACAGCCTCGATCCACAATACCTCCATTGCAGATTGTGAAACCAAAAATCAATCTAAAATTAGCATCCTTAAATAAACAATTAACACTGCCAACAGTGTATCAGGCTAGATTTGCCAAAAGTGCACAAGAATATAACCAATATATGTATGTATCTGGACGACCCCATAATAAATGGAAAAACTGGATGTGCAGTTGTAATAAATAATCAAACAATCGCTTTTAAACTGCCTACAGTAATAACAATCTTCACATGTGAAGCCTATGCAATTTTACAGGCCATAAAATACACAAAAACAACAGTGAATAATCAGTTTGTAATATTTTCTAATTTAAAAGCTATACTATTGGCAATGGGAGACCTCAATAGACCAGCAAAAATAATTCAAGGTATACATGCTGAAGTAACAACCATATGTATTAAAAACAGTATTGAACCTGACATTATTTGGATACCATTACATATTAGAATACCTAGTAATGAAACAGTAGACAAAGCTGCAAAAAATTACTGCACCTCTGTCATACCATACACAGAATTACCGCACACACTGAATGAGATGAAAAACCTTATAAAAAAGATTGCCAAAGAAAAATGGAACCAGCAATGGATTGGTATGATTTAAACTAAACTGCATCATATAGGTAAATTAATGAAAGAAAATATTTTATTACCTATACCAGGAAAGCTACAAATTACATTATCAAGATGAACTACTGGTTACTTTGTGGTGCTTGTAAACCAATTGTGGTTGCTAATAATCTTGACGTTGATGCAACCTTAAATAAAACCATTTAACCATTTGAGTCCCAGGGGGTATTGAAAAATCACTGTCGAAGAATTCCAAACAACACAATCGCACTTTCTCTAAATAAGTACTGGATTTTCTCGACATAAAATCTGAACAGCGCAATCGCGCTGCTTGGGACTCAAATGGCTAAAAAAAGAAAAAGAAAAAAAAAAGAAGAATTGATTAAAACAATCCATGTCACTCCAAAAAGATTTTTCTTTTAAACAATCGATTCAGAATTGAACATGTCTGAACTAAACACCACTTCAGTCCGTAACGTCCGTAGTAACCGCCGTTAAACTTTCCGTTTGAACTGGTCCCTACAAACTGGCCATAGACTATCTGTTTATACTACACCGCCGTGCTGGCCATTCTAAAAGGTTATAACGATTTTGCTATCCTCTTGGACTATTTTTATGAGTCTGACTCGTGATGAAAATTTTAGGTCAAACTTGAAAATGACGAGTCAGGCTCGTTGTTAAGTTTAGTAAAACCATTCGGGCGCACAGGTTGGCACGGTTTTTTCCGAGTTTCAGCGTAGTACAAGGGGCTATTTTAAAACAAATATTTCTGGATTACAGATATTCGGCGCAGTATTTCCTTATTTTATACAAATTTGTATAACTTATACCGACACACAGTGGGTAAATCCGTCTATCTAGCTGCACAAAAATCTAAATCAAGAATTTACTCATATTTAGTATTTGTTATGCTTAATTTTTTATCAAATACAAATAACAAAAATGTTTTTATAACCTTGCATTAATTATTACACTTATAAATTATGTTTTAGTAATTTATAAATTCATTAATTACTGGTACAGTTAATGTTAAGTCCAAAAAATGAGTGATATTTTCAAGATGGTATAATCTGACTACACAATTTCTTTCTTAGAATTACAGGAAGTTGCTTTTCAACACAAACTACATAACTTTCTGTAAATTAATCTGTACAGCTCCATGCACAACTACATAAAAACCTATGTTAACGCTTCAGAAAAATATGTTTTGATTACTGTTGGACAAATCAGAAAATTGGGAAATCTGTGAGCTTATTGGCTTTTTCTGTTGTTTAAATTTATTGTTCTTTTTCTATTGTTAAAATTAACCAGTTTCCAACCAACAAAAACATGTTCAAAAAAAAATATTTATAAAAAAGCAATGTAATTAACTACAGTGGCACCAGAGCACTCATGAGCTATGTAGAGCATAATTAAATAAGTTTTCGTTCACAACCTTGATAGTAGTTTTCACGCCTTGAATATAAAAATCTCTACCTGTGTATCAAGTTGCATCAAAATTAGCGTATGACAATTAGGTGATATTCTTGTTAGACAAATGTATCCAATCGTGCAGGTATACATGTATGTACTTAACTACACAAATTAATTTCAAAACCAATAAGGCATTTTTCAGCAGCTAATTTCCAAATAGTTTGTTACATAATATTATAAGATACAAAACTAAACTTCATTTGTGGTAAAATATGGTGGAACATGTAACTTTTAAAATACTTTCATACAAATGTATCTATGAATCTATTAATTTTTGAAAGCATCCTACTCTTACAATATTTTGAATAGTTACACAATTAAGATTTTTAAATACCCTACAGTATTCATACTTTCAGGAATAGGCTCCACTAAGATATTCACTAGTACTGAAATTTCAATTTTGGATTTTTGTCCAGCCATATCGACAATTTTGTCCATTGTGCGACGTCTTGTGTGAATGCTTCAACTAATTTTTTTCAGTGCATTGTAATATAGAAAAAAAGACGTTCAAAAGGGAAGTGTTTAATAAAAGTTCAAAACCTAATTTTTTATAGGTATCGTTTAGACTCGCTTCTCCTTTTTTTATCTTTTATTCACATTTCACGCGCTACTTGCGGCTCTATCTGTTTGCAGTAGTGCGCGACGTAAATGGCATGTCAAGCAAAATAGACGTAACATTTAACGTACTAAATTAAAATACTTAGAAACAGATAGCTATCAAAACAAAACTCATTAAAGTTCCCTAATAGATTTAAATTACAACTTCCAGCTGGTCTCATTAAAAAAGTGATTTCCACACTCTGGTTTCCTTCTTGTAAGCTCTGAAATTTCATTTAAACGTGCCTGTAAGGCAAACCAATTTCTTAACAAGTGTAACAATCATGAGCCAAGGAAATATTTTAAACAGTCGAGCGTGCGATTCCGCTTCTAATAGCATTTGTACACTTAACTTAATATTTATGTATTATTTAGTTACGTATCTGTATTTACACGTCCGATTTAATATTCATTATCCAGATGCATGGTTTCTATTATCATCGTCATTGGCAGAAAAGCGAACATGTTTTGTGAGAAGAGAGTGGAGAAAATATAGTAATACAGCTACGTTTGTTCAACATTATATACATCCAGTTGCATTAATTCTTTCCATTTGTAAGAAAAAGTATACTAAGATCTATTCTCAAAAGAGAAGGGATCATTGAATGCAGTTTATATACATGCATATATCGTTTTTATACATACCGACAACCTACATGGAGTTTTGTTTCACATTGAAAACACCAAACATTCCAATGAAGAATGTCTACTGCTATGAAATGACAGTCACTATGTGGTTTTTTATAATGTTCTAAAGCATGTCCAGATTCCTCCTTTCCACAAGCTTGATATCCACATTGTAAACATATCAATGCAGCTGGACTTACTGTACAATCCTGAAATTATATGTATTTACAGATATTTATTGTTAGTAAATACCAATAGTACAGAGTTGAGATTTAGTTCACAGTATCAATACCTCTTCATTAATTTTCAGTGAATTACTTCTGCTTTTTTTGCAAGTTGAACATTCTATATCAATTCCCATTTTATTGATATATTTTTTAATTTTATTGAAATTCACTGCTTTTGTAATATGTGGACAAGTACTACCTATAAAAGAAAATCAACATTACATTTATCATTATAAATACAGATATTTTTGTAGTTTACATAATTATGTATGAAGACTAAGTTGAAACTTGTTTTACTTAGTTATTTGGATCTTATAAACCATTACATAACCATACTTATAATTCATTAGATAAATGCAAGCATAAACTAATGAAATATTTTATATAAAGAATTACTTGTAAATATATATTTTTGACCAATGTTATAGATTTTCATTAATTTCTAATATTCCTAACAATTTCTGGTTTTATGTTGAGTCAAGTCTGTCATAAGATAAGATTTTATATCTGCAACTTAATCCATTTATATTTCTTGTTTCTACATTTTTATGTAATACAATAGAAATTGAATAATACATATTAAATTACAGATGTAAATAGCTAACAATAAATTTAAGTGATAAAACACCATTTATTTAAATAACGAAACTTGAAAAGATTTCCATTCAAATTGGAAAATAGGTAGGGTAAAAGTATGTCAATTATGAAACTAAATATTATTCCATATATCTAGTCTGTTCTTACTTTATTTTTTTATAAGGATGTTTGGTTTCAATTTTTATAACTCGTTACTTGTTATATTAAAACTTTGATTTCCAGGTGATCTCACATTTTTTTCTTTTAATAGTGTTACATGGGAAAAAAACTCTTATAACTTTTTCAATAAGTAATATTTTGTTCAAAGAAATTTTGGGACTAGGGAAATATTAGTTTTTTATATCACAATTTATACTTTTTAATATGCAATTATTAGTGGTTCTCAATTTTTTATTAGATAATTAGAAAATGAAAATTTGATATCTATCGGTTAGTGATATACTATGAAAGTTAGCCCTCTTTTTTTACTATATGTACGAAAGCAATTATCAAAATGCAGGGGAACTTTCCAATATTCTCGAACTCAAGCATCGAAAATGTACTTTACCACTCTAGTATATACATAGTTCCACTATCAATTCTGATGAAATACAACAAGAAATTATGAATGTATGCAATTCTTCTAATCCAAAAAAACATCACTCTATATTTGTGTAAACAATATGCTATTAACTTAATGATTTGAATGCTGTTGTGATATTCCCTTTGGATCTATTACCTAAAGATGTTCCATATGTATTGTTCATATTATCAAAAACACTTCAAATTTAACATGTATAACCACACTTATGCATCACTACAAATATAAAAATTAAAATTCGTGATATAATTCATATTTGTTTAAATATCGAACCTTTTACTTTATAGAGTATTTGTGTATTTTTGTAATTTACTATATATTATAAATATAAAATCAAGATGTAACTTACTTTCAACTATAAACAGTATATTAATCCTTTAAATAATATAATTAATATTGAGATACAAATTTCATATCATATCAAATTTTGCTATTCATTACACTAATTTATATTTTAATTGTGATACAATTGGGTTTATTATTCAATATACTAATACACAATTTTTGAATTTTTTACTAAAAATAATTATCTTCAAGATGAATTTATTAAAAACACATCATTCTTAACTAAAAGAAGAATAAACAAGATGTTGAGATGCTTCATAAAGAAATGAATTCTAACCTGTAGTATTAGATTCATCGCAGGAATCAGTAGACCCATCAATCAGCTCTCCCTTCGCATCTGTTTGTCGACTACGCTTTTTATTCATTTTTCGTTGCTATCAAATTGTATCAAACCTAATTGTTACAAATCTTTTGTTTCCCTTATTCAAAAACAAGAATTCAGTAAACAAAAAAAGTAGATTTCATCATATATATGAAGTATTCCAAAAAAATGTTCAAGCTAACTGTATTAACCTACCAATCTTCAATGAATAATATTGTATCTTGTCATATTTTTAATTTGATACATTTGAATGAATTTTTAGTTGTTACAAAATTCTACAATAATCATTTAAAATAATATACGAAAAATACGAAATTAAACAACTGCTACCACAATTCTTATTCCTAGCAGAATTAATGCTCGTAAGCTATGGACAGAGTGTGGACACTAAATGTATAATTTTGTTAAAATAATCAGCACCCTCTGTTGGAGCGTAGGACAACTGAGTAGGCAAGAGGCAATTTTAAATCCAGAAAAATGTATATTTTCTAATCACTTTCATGACATTTAAAAAAATAAGTATATTTTCTATAAAACAATCAGTTTCACATTTATTATAGTTATATAAAAATGACATATTAATAATTGTTTGAATTACTATATGTATTCCTTTATTGTACATATTGTACATCGCGTAGAACTAATTTCTTTATATATACTTTGTATATTATTTATATATACTTTATATATACTGTATATACAGGGTGTCCCAAAAGTCGGGGAGGAGCCGGAAATGGGGTGTAGCTGAGACGATTCTGAACAACAATTTCCTTTGCAAAAATGTCGGATGGGGCTTCGTTAAGGAGATATTAAGAGAAAACCCCGACCAATCAGAGCACGCGTAGACCGTTGGAGCGGCCGCGGTAGCGAAGGCTACAAGCTAAGAGGCCGCGCTTGTACGCGAACAAGTGACTCGACCTGCATCGAAGGACATTGACGCGGTCGCCTAGTTCGTAGCCTTCGCTACCACGGCCGCTCCAACGGTATACGCGCGCTCTGATTGGTCGACGTTTTCCGTTAATATCTCCTCAACGAAACCTCGGACAACATTTTCCATAACGAAAAAGTTGTTTCAAATCACCTCCCCAACCACCCCTTTCAAGGTGTTACAACATTTTTGGGACAGCCTGTATACAACTAACAAAGAAACATATCCAACTGTCCGTCTCCGATTTTGATGAAACTTGGTGAGTACATTAAGCAGGTGAAAATCAGGGATACGTATTTTTTTATAGCTGCTCAATCGTAAGTTTAGGGATTGAAATCACCCCTTGAAGTTTCAGCAGAAAAATGCTATCTCGAAAACTACAATAAATATAAGAAATATTCTTAGGGAAAAGATTCATGGCTTCATGAGGTAAAACAAAAAGTGGTCACAGATTTTGTAAAATGTAATTTGTTTACAACAAAAAAATTTTTTGTTACATTATTTTAAGGGTGCGCAGGAAACAAACTGGCGCCACCAACGAAAAGTAGGTTAACTACTAGATAGTTTTTCCCGTTTTTCAGGCACAATAATGAAAAAAACATATACTAATTATGCATTTCGTAATTAGGGGAAGCAAATCTATCGTCTCGTGAAGCGTTTTTTGGAAAAAATTAAAAAAAAAATTTTTGCCTTTTAACGTATTTTTAGCACGTTTCAAAATCAAAATTGCAAAATGTGTAACTATCCCCCGCAACGGAATTTTATAAGGAACAATTTAAAAAAAAATCAGTCGGAAAGGACGTTTCCTCGCCTCATAAAATTACGTTGGTGCTGTCGTTATGAAATCGAGAAGACTGATGCGCTTGCACAATGGCTTGAGTTTCACGCTCTCCACCACAGCACACCACAGCACTGGTGTCGTCTCTCCTGCTGCTGGTGTACCGATAATCTAAAAATGCCTTTCAGCATGGTTCAGTACCGTACTAAGAGTATGAGGTGCCCGAGCTTATATATTTTACTTTTGCATATGTATATGTATTCAATATTATATTGTTAAGAAACGTCATGTATATGTTAAGGTTACTTATATTGCATTACAATTAATTGATACAGAATAGTCTGTTACGATAATTTCAAAGTAGTAAATAATAAAAAACTGATATGATATTTATAATATGGTACGAAAATAATAAAGTACTAATTGTTATTTGTGGAATGTAATGATAGTATGCAATGTAAAAAATATTGTATAATAAAAAAGGTAAAACGTTTAGAAACATTATTTTTGAATATAGGTAATTACATAAGAAAAAGCACACTAACAAAGGGAAGGTACGGATGTTTTTGAAGGTACGGATCGCTTTTGCAACGACACCCTATGGGGGTCGTAGTACGCATGTAGTACTGCAAAACCATTTTGACTTTTTTCAAAATGGGTGTTTGTTTTCAATGTACAATAAAAGCATCTAGCAAGGTTTGTTGAATACATTAGTAGAGTATTAGGTTGTAACGCTGGGTACGAATCCCGATTGATGTATTTCTTTTTAATTTCAATTTTCTATCAGAAATATACTTTTTGAATATCATGTGCTATATATTGCATATTATATATTACCTTACGCATATTTTAAGGTTGAAATTAATTTTTTAACGTGTAACATATGTTGTATGCCAACATAGTATTAGCATTAGTTTAGTTAACTCCAATAAACATTTGAAATTTCTTCCTCCGATAACTCATGATTTCATTTAGAGACACGGTAGCGTCTCGACGCCAAGTTCAAGAAACATTATACAGCCACCCTGTATAACGTGGCGCTACCGCTTATCT